TTGAATAAGTATGGTGAAAGAATACAACCCTGTCTCACACCTTTCCCAATTTTAAAACATTCAGTGTTCCCATGTTCTGGGAAACAGGAGGGGCAATTACCACGGCCCCTCCTAAGTAGGCCATTTCCGGGAAATTGCTGCCTATTTCTATGAATAAAAATGAATTCTTTTCCCTACTCAAAATTGTTTAAACCCCAGCAATGCTTTATTTGAGGAGATAGGTTAAGCATTGCATTAACCAGCCACTCCTCAGAAACCTTATGCAGGGTTACTATGAGTCAGAACAACCACAACAATCTCTTGCTTGCAGGCCTCTCTCCTACAATAAGTTTCTGCTCATATGGAAACTCTCCCTCACCTGACTATTCAATTAAGAATAGTAGAAGTCTCTCTTGAAGGAAGATGTGGTTAGTACTCCCTGTCTGACTTTTGAAGTAAATTGTTGAAAACATCAGAACAGTCAGCCTATAGTGCTGGAGCTGCAGATGTTTGCTACATTGTCACAGGGACGCCTGTGTCTTCCTTGAGACTTATTTAGACAAGTTGGTTGAAATTAACACAATAAGTTTAAAATAATATTAAGACTTTAGTTATTCCGATCTTGTGTGGCACTGTGGGCTAATGCGTCAGACTGCAAAGTCTTTTGAACTGCAAAGTCAGTGGTTCAAGCTCACCAGCTGCTCCTTGGAAACCCTATACATGTTTGCTATGGGCCAGAATCGACTCAATGGCACTTAACAACAACAACATCTATAGTAAGGAGTCCTGGTTTGGTGCTACAGGATAATAAACTGGACTGCAAGGTCAAGCTGAACCACAAGGTTGGTGGTTCAAACCCATTAGCAGCTCCTTGGAAACCCTCTACAGGGTCACTGTGGTTTGGAACTGACTCCATGGCACTTAACACCACAATCTATAGTAACATCACATGCAGTAGTATATCAACAGGGAACTGCCAGAGGTTCAAGCTGAATATAGACAAGGACGTGGAACAAGGGATATTACTGCTGACATCAGATGGATCTTGGCTGAAAACAGAGAATACCAGAAAAGCATAGCAGCAATTGTTGGCACCAACATTTTTTCCTGCCCTTTCCAAAATAAGAGTCAAGGCTGGAGGTGTATTTTTTTATTTTTTGCAGTTTTGATCCATGTATTATGAAAAAGTTACATGAATAGAAATGGACATATAACAAAGAGATTCATTTGTGAA